CCCGCCGCGGGAGCGACCGCTGGCGCGGCTGCCGCCCATCGGAGCGACGGACGAAATCAGCGCCGAATAGGGCGCTCACGATAGAAGGAATAGCTTCGCGCAGCAGCACAGCGGAATGGTTCAACGGTTAAGGCGGTAATGCGAACTAGTTTGTTATCGCTGGGATTCCTTTTGGTATAGCGCAAGACATTAAAGACGCAAACACAGAAGAGGAGGTAAAGTGTGGGATTGGGCTACTTGGTAATTCATTATTGAACTTCTCAGCGCAAAAAACTTCCGACAAGCAACACAAAAGACGAGGACGAGCGCAGACTTTCAACTAAATTTATTACTACTCTTTGACTTTTGACTCTTGATTTTGTCTCTTTTGACTTTTAGTTTGGTGTTTTTTGTTTTTTTTTGTTTTGTAATCAATCGATCCTATCGTCTTTTTTTGTAACATATATATGTGCGTCGTAGTAGTAATAAATTTAGTTGAAAGTCTACGCTCGTCCCCGTTTTTGTGTTACTTGTCGGAAGCTTTTGCGCTCAGAAGTTCAACAACAGGAGAGGGCACATAAACAGGACTATAGCGGTCGTCCTGTTCATGTGTCCTGTCCTGTCTCTGCGTCTTTGATTTTTGTTTTGCGCTACTAAAATGAATGCCGCTATTTCTATCGTATCACGGGCTGCAACTTCCGAGATCAGTGTGCGGTGCTCACCTTTTCATAAACGCCTCCCTGGGCGCCGCCATAGCCCTCCTTGGGCTGTGCAAATTGTCCACTCGAAAATGCACTGGCAACGCTGCGCTCTTAGCCTTTGTACTCCCGCGCACAGCCCATCATGGCGGTGTTTTTTTCCTTCCTGTGAAAAGGTGTGCAGATGAGCAGAAGCTGTGAGTATGCGCTCTTTGCGAAACGCAGCGTTCTTACGGGCGCAACACCGTTACAAATGCAACGGACGCAGTACTAAACTCTGTTTCCGGATTTTGTTAGTCGTGGGAAGGGCGAATTTATTGGCGTCTAATTAAATTTCACGTCGTCGTACAATAAGCTGTCGATCCGCTTATATGTTGTTGTTTTTTTCGAGTATAGTATGACCGCCATGTTTTCGGGAAAACCGGAACTCACCGTTTACTCCGCGCATTACTAAGTTCGTTCGGCGTCATTTAGGATAATTTTTTGCGTACTCGTCATTTTGACGTCACGGGCTTTATGCAGTTTCCGGTCATTGCTTGATTGACATGGCAAAGCAGGCGCGGCCCGAAAGTTTTCGACCAGTTAGAACAACCAGGTAGGGCTAATGGCGAATACTGGATAAAAGTGAAAAATGGAATACCGACACACGTTGCAGCATATAGACAGGAGCCGACAGCAATGAGACGTGAATTGGGAGTGTCCCGCTGCCGAAGCAACGTAGCAGCGTTTTTCGGGGGTTCTTGTGTGTTCACTCAATGATTGCCTCATCGCACAAACATGAAAACACACGTTTGTCTCTTTATAAACCGGGAACATGCAGAATGGCTACCGTCAGAGACAATTCAAACACTCGTGATCTGGTGCTAGTGTCTTAAATTGAAAAACCATCTGGCTGTAAGCATCATATGCTGAATGTTGTTTTGGGGTAGCGTGCCAAGACATTTTCAAGAACCATAAGTTTCTAGCTGGGTGCTTCGGTAAAAATATCGTAAATTTTACAAAGCTGCATGCAAAGGGAACTAGTGTTCTCAAAAAAGAAAAAAAAATTGTGAAGTTTTGCTCTTGGCTGAAATAGACTACAAGGCACATAAATTGTAAGCTGTGTAAAATGACGGTGACCACTTCTTTTTTTTTTATTTTTTTTAAGATCTGCTTTCCTGCCAGAGTTCCTTCATCGAGTGAAGCCGGCCCACAACTTTCGAGCCATAGAGTTTTCTCCAACATTTACTATAAGGAACTGTAGCGCTGCGATCGCTCAGTCACTGTGGGAATGAATAATCATGCGCAGATTTACCTGGTTTTGTGCATTCGGCTCTGTTTATTGTTGTGTCTTGGTTTTTGTTTCGTATAAAAGATCGGCTCATTGTGCGCTTCGTGAGCTTATTTAAAGTGGTAAACCTAAAAAAATTCACAGTGGTAAACATAGGCGTGTGCAGGATTCCCCTTCAGTGGGGGGCGAATGTTTGTTGCAGCACCCCTGCCCCTACTATTATGTCAATGTATGAGATCTGACTTTGCCCCCCTGTCCCCTCCCACCGAGTCGCCGCGCCACGTCCCTACTATTTCAATGTATATGGCTGACATTGGGCCCGGCCTCTTAGGTGACTAGAGGGTAAAGTGGTGGTTCCATTTGACCCCCCCCCCCCCTCCCGTGTGCATGCCTGTGATCATCGTCTTGCGACAAAGGCACCGCAGGCCACTCCTAGAACGAATCTTTGGCAAATCAATGAACTACCCATCATTTCCGTCTTGGCTGAAGCCTCATTCGTTGCAGCTCCCATAGACACTGAAACCACATTTCCTTACAGTGTACCATTACGGTGCCTACTATGATGCCTGAGCCCATTTTTAAGCATTAAAAACCTACTAGTCCAATACCTCACTTGACTTTCTATTAGGAACTTTTTTGGGTCGAGTTAGCCTACACTTTTTTTTTGCTTTCTTGAACCCCGCAGTATAGAAAGGCAGCTATCAAAGAAATGCTACCGTCACAGTTTTCAAACGTTCAGGTGGGTGGGCCCCTTAACATAGGCTACAATGCATTTGAACGCTAATAGTTTTTGCCAGACTACGAACGTGCGACTGACAATCGGTGGACAACTGTGCGTAAACTACTCTTACACGCATGGAAACAGTGAGGCCCCGCTTAACGTACGACAAAGATTGAATATTGTGGCATCCTGATAGTGATAGCGTAGAAGGAGCTTATTTTTAACTTCAGGCCTGGAGATTCATTATCGCTACTTCAACGTCGACAGAGGTCGCGTAGTTGGAAGTGTTTTGTACATACCTGTTGAAAATTTGTTGAAATGTGTCCCGGCTTTGTTAACGCATTCACATGCAAACGGACTGGGAAAGTTCTGACGATAGCCGATATGTGGCCTTCCTGACTGGCTCTGGCAACGTGGCCGTGCTCGCTGTTTTATCTGGTCGTGGAGGCCATGGCCGACTTCGATAGTTTTCTTCTTCGTACATTCGCTGCGTGCATCTTTCGTAAGGTGCAGTTAATGCTCAAGAAATGTTGATGTGATTCGTATCGTGACGTGCTTGCAGCTTGCGTGCGGTGTAAGACGTTAGCACAATGACTTGTTGTATGCCTGTTGAACACTCCAGAGACTACGTTTTGCTCGTTACGAAATCACTAGTTACTGAAAAAAAAAGTTGACTTAAGCACCTGTTTAAAACAGTGACATTAGTTTCGTGACTATACTGTCGGGTTATTTCAAAAGCTACCATCACATGTTTGCACTTGCGCTCAATATGTTTCCAGTTGGGGTGCATCACTATAATTCATGTTTCACTAAGAATGATTCGCATATATCGGCGTATAAACATTTCTCATGCAAAAATTTATCAAAGTTCCGTGCGAATTTTCACGAAATAATTTTCTAAACAGCCTCTCATACCGCATGCGCACCGCCGCGCCTTGGAAAATGCTATGTGCCAAATCACAATGTGTGGTCTGATAACCTATGTCACGTGTTTGAAAATCATCAATCCGTGTATACGCTTCATTCTTCGCAATACAATAAATACTTCTATATTATCCTCGCAGCCTGAATTTGCGCGGGAGGTGTGTGTATCAATCTTCTACTCCGAATGTATTCGTGTGACATGTCAGTCACCTTTTTGTATGTTATTGCATGTGTTTGTATCTTGGCGTGTATGTATATGTAAACATGCACATTTTAAAAATGAAAAAAAAAATGACTTCCCCCTCCGGCCCTCCCACCTGGTTACGCCATTGTTGCCTAACAAGAAGGTCAGTTAAGACAGCTGGATTTTCGTGCCAAGGACTTCATCCTTTGTAGACCACATAAGCTGGTCACGTTCACGTGTTGGTCTTCATAAAGTTGAACGTTTACAGTTGATGTTTATTTTCTTCTACTACGAAAATTGGAGCGGGAGAAGAAGACTACAAAACCTCACAAAGGGCTTCCGTTCCCGTTGGCATTCGTGACTGCGGTGTACACATAATACGGGTCACTTTGTATCAAATGAATTTTACATGTTCAGTACGGGGGTAAACAACTCTGACAATAACGCAAGGTAGATTGACTATGAATCGGCTAAATGTGATTTCTCGAGGAAGGGAAACAACACAATGGTAAACATGAATGATATTGAATTATTCGATTCCAAACAGTTCATTCTCTCTGTCGCTGAGCAACACCAAAAAAATGGCAGTGGCTTAGCTCAGCTATGCCAGTAAATACGTAGCGTTATCAAAAGTTCAGTGGATTATTCTTAGCTTTCCAGAGTGTCTAGGATTAGCTTGATTATCATGCTTACTGCTGCTGCAATGACACACGTATATTTATTTTGCCGGGCAACTACTTCGGGATCCGATCAGTTAAGCTTCCCCGCTCTACTGCACCGTTGAGCAGCATTTGCACTCTCCTTCTCCATGGCTATACCACGGTGGCAAACGCCAGTCAGAGGCGCTATCAAGCGGCTCCAGCGGTGTGTCAGATGGCGACTGCACAGGGAAGGCGCGCGCGTCGGCGTCCACATGTCTACCAAGGCTATGACGGCACTCCTCTGGAAAGCGCACACCGGCGGCGGCGAGTCGCGCGCGGCCGCGGCCGAGTGCGAGGGAGGTGCCGGCTCCGGTGCGTGACACCACTGATCGTCTGCGCAGTGCATCGAATTGCGCGCACACTGGCGGCGAGCCGCGCGTGTTGGCGGCTGAGTATCATTGCGCATGCGCAGACCAGTGCCACGCGAAATTGGCTCAGCGAGGCTAGTGTAGCTAACGCTACAAAAAAAAGCCTACTTACAACGGTGAAACCACTTCTCTACGCGTCTTGTATTTAAGCGTGCTCAACTCTTTCCATCAAGAGGCTTCGGGGGCGCGCGGTCACTTATACGCGTTGGTTCCTGCGCGGGAAGGGCCAACACCGGGACGTCCCTGTCTGGCTGTAGGCTCACGATGGAGCCCAACCCGCGCCTGAGGCTGTGCGATCGGGTGGACTCCTGGCGGGTTTGCAGCATATACCGCTGCAGGACGGCGGCGGCCACGCAGTCGCTCAGCAAATCCACCGTGCTCGCGGCGCGCTGCAGGAGCCAGTGCACGACGGCCATGTAGCCCATGTTGTCGGGTGATAGACCCACCAATGTCAGCAGCAGGGCAGCGCGCGCGGGACCTGCAGAAACGACCACAATGGAGAGAGAAAAAGAATAAGAGGGATCCGCGCAGAATCTCCCCTGGGAGTTGCCTGAGCGATGCGTAAACGCGCTGTTTTACCACAGGAAAGTGTACAGTCACGGCAAAAACCACCAGCTCTTGACGCCGCTCCTGGCAAGGCGGCCGCAGAACCGCAGTGTGTCTTTCGCTGCCACGGATCATGAGTGATTTATGAACAACCCATTTGACTTGGCCTGCACGGTAATGGCTGTGGAATTCAGCATCCGCTATCTCTAGCTGTTAGCTCAATTACTTCAGCTAACACAAGGGGTATAATCTGATGGTCGCCGATATTTGTCGTTCGGTATGTTACACTAAGCGTCAAGATGGGTGCATCCACGACAACGACTTGTCCAACAGCATTCATGTTGTGCGAATTGTACTAAAGTCGAATATAGCTGTAACCACTTTCATGAAGACAGTGTTTGACACTTGTGTTAAGACTAACTCTTATATACATTGGTACGTGGCAGCGGGCACTCACCGCGGAAGCTAGGCATGAGCCCGTACTCGCCGATGGTGGCGATGCAGCAAGATGCGAGCAGCACGACCAGCGAGCTGACCGTGAGGCTCTCTCCCTGTAGCTGCGCCGCGAACAGCACGGACACCATGGTGTACAGGGCGGTGCCGTCGTGGTTGATGACCGTGCTCAGGGGCACGATGAGACGCACCGAGTCCGGGTGCAGGCCGACCTTCTTCTCCAGGATGGCCATAGCTGCCGGGCTGCCCACCATGCTCGAGCGGGAGCCGAACGCGATGGCCAGCGGATGCAGAAGGCTCAGGAAGAAGAGACCCGCATCACGACGCACCTGTGGCCAGTGTTTGGACTTGAGCATTGGAATGATGATGATGATGATGAGGAGGAGGAGGAGGAAGAGGAAGAGGAGGAGGATGATTGAATGATTGGAAAGAGAAGGAGTGGTAGGGAGGTCAACGAGTCCAGGATAACCGGTTTGCTACCCTACATGTGGGAACGTGATGGGGGAGTTTGAAAGAAAGAGAGGAAAGAGACAAAGATAGCACATCACACAGCACATGCGCGAGCACCAAGTCAGTATGAGTCCAGATAATCATTAAGAGTCTAATTATTAAAGCAGTAATAGAAGTTATAATTACAGTAATAATGAAGAGGCAATCATAGTGAGTCCTAATTTCAACTCTCACCACGCTGCGTAGCCTTTCAGTGACCAAATATCGTTTTACCAGGATGACATGATATGAAATTATTAGCGGTTCATACAGCTAATAAATTTATTTTATTTACGTATGAACTTCTTTAGAGCACTGTATATATTCTTATTTTTATTTATTTATTTATTTATTGATTCCTTAAAGGTCCCATAGGGACATTACATGAGGGGTGGGCATGACACGGCACTTGAAAGAAGGGTAACAACATGGTAACGGCAACAGACTATGTACAGAAGTTATGGCGGCACTTCTATATAGGGGGTGCGGCACAATACTAGAAAGGAGGGTTACAATATCGTAGCGACAGCAACAGAATGGGTACATTAATTATGGGGGCACTACAATGGCGTGCTTGAAACGAGATTGGTCCATGATGGTAGCAACTTCAGCAGGTAGGTCATTCCAGTCTCGGGATGTGCGTATGAAAAATGATTGTTGGAATGTATTAGTATGGGCACGTTCCGGATAGACTGCGTTGGCGTGGCTAGTACGGAAAATATTCATTTTCTAACGTGCCAGCGCGGAATCCCCAAATGATAACAGTACAGTGGAAGGACCTGGCTAAGATCTCGCGCTTCTAAGTTTGCAGATGAAGTTGTCTCGAATTATGCTGACGGTATAGTAAGTGATTATAAATGTGGACTGCATCAGCGAAAATTGACGTTTTGGCGAAACATGCTTAACGATGTGTTTCCCGTTATTAAGAAACTTCACTTCAGGATATATGTGCGCGACTAAGAAATCTTGCTACAATTTGACTCGATCGGTCCTATCACACCTTTTCTTTGTTTTTAGGTATCATAATATTTATTCTTACTGTCAGACCATGTTGGTTCGTGCTAACGTGCACTGGGTCCGCAATTGGTAATCACGGCTATTTTCGAAACCGTCGTTAGGAAGAACGCTTGAAATTGAGCGTTTCCACACGAGTTTGTGCGGAAGGCCTTATACTGCGAGGTAACTGCCTAAACAAGCGCGAATAGCCTGGATATGCTGACGACGCACCGGTGCTACACCAAGCTCAAGCAGAGTTGTTCAATAACGCTTAAGGAGCTCAGGAGCAGTCATATGCTCCCTAGCCGCCACGGTGGGTCAACTTAGAATAGGCATCAGAGTAGTCATAATATTTTTTTCGGAGGCTCCGCCGCGGTGGTCTAGCGGCTAAGGTACTGGGCTGCCGACCCGCAGGTCGCGAGATCAAATCCCGGCGGCTGTGTTTCCTATGGAGGCGAAAATGCTATAGGCATGTGTGCTCAGATTCGGGTGCACGTTAAAGAACCCCAAACGGTCGAAATTTCCGTAACCCTTTACTACGGCGTCTCTCATAGTCATATGGTGGTTTAGGGAGGTTAAACACTGCATATCAATCAATAATTTCTTTTCGGAGGGAGTTCATGGTTTTAACCATACTTTATAAAAGTTAGAGTGTTCGTTTGTGAGTGTTGTATTTACACACATGCGAAGTGGGAAAATGGCTGGAGAAAGGAAATCTGAACAACCGAACGCCCTTGCTGTCTACGCTATATAGTGATACACATCTTCTTCTTCTTCTTCTACTACTACTACTACTACTACTACTACTACTACTACTACTACTACTACTACTACTACTACTACTACTACTAATAATAATAATAATGATAATAATAATAATAATAATAATAGTTTCAAGGGTTTGACATGCCATAACAGTGATATCATTGTGAGGCATACTGTAGCACGTGGGCGGCTATGAATAATTTCAACGAGCTGTATATTTTTTAACGTGCCTTGAAATCACACAGTACTCTGTAGGCATGATTTTTCATCGAAAGGAAGGGGAAATGGGTACGATTCACATTTATGTATGTTACATGCAACAAACACGTGCTAAACTGAAAATCATTTTGGGAGGGGGAAGGAGGGAAGTGTCTTAGTTTCTTAACAAGCCGCCGCCGTGGCACTCCGGTTGCGATGCTCAGCTTCCGATCCCCGAGACAAGCAGGTTCCATCTCGACTTCCGCGGCCTTTCAATCGAACCCGTGCATTTAAGGTCAGCAGCCGAACACCTCAACCACTGTACCATCGTGGCGGCTCGTTAAGCAAATAAGGCATTTAATTATGTTGAAGATTGTAGCGGCGTTTATTTACAGAGCAGAACGCAGAAGGCGAGGCAGTCAGCAGCGCCCGGCCAAGTGCAGCAAGCACGAGCTTATGGCGATGCCCCTGAGGCGCCGAGAAATGCCGCCCATGCCCCTCTTCTTCACTACCATCACAAACAATGCTTTGTTCACCTTAATCATGTAGAGGGCAGGAAGGAAGAGGAACGCGTGGACCCCGAGTCCCAGCAGCACCGTGAACGAGAACAGGCCCAGGTGCCACACGACCGTCGACAGATCCGAGACGCGCGACACGTCGACGGCGACGAGGGCGCCCACGGCGACGGGCGAGAACCACAGCGTCTTCTCGGTCATGCGCAGGAACTTGGTGCTGAGCACGCGCGTCAGCCGCAGGACGTAGTGGGCGCCGCCTCCCGGTGCGGCAGAGTCGGCGCCGACTGCGGGGACGCCGACGACGTCGCGTCCCGCGGGCACGAACTGCGACAGCGCGAAGCCGAGGAGCGCGGAGAATCCCAGCAGGCCGAGGAAGTTCGTGTGAGCTAGCTTCTCAAGATGGTACTCCTTGCCCAGATCTGCAAGGGCGCCAAAAGTGAGAAAGAAAAAAATGCCGCCATATCCACGAAGTGAATGATGATGAGTGGGCGAAGCTCCGGAGGTAAACCTGGTAAACCATGAATGCTCCGTACATTTTGCCCACTCGATTTTATTGCAACGCTCTCCCTAGCGTACGTCGCCGCACTATATCGAACGATGACACGCGCCATATGTAGCATCATTCCTATTTTATAACACCTCGCATCTTTCATAATCAACTACACGTACCGCCGTCTAGTTTATAACATCTTGCATCTTTTGGACGGACGGACGGACGGACGGACGGACGGATGGACGGACGGATGGATGGACGGATGGACGGATGGATGGACGGACGGACGGATGGACGGATGGATGGATGGATGGATGGACGGACGGACGGACGGACGGATGGATGGATGGATGGATGGATGGATGGATGGATGGATGGATGGATGGATGGATGGATGGATGGACGGACGGACGGATGGATATGGCTGTACCCTTTAGATCGGGCGGTGGCTAGCGTAATACTTAGAACTGAACGAGAGGTGGCTACATACAGGGGACGCACAGCCCACGCCTTAAGGAGCTTCGCTCCTAAAAAAATGTTGATATATAGTTAACGAATAACACCATTTCCCGCTAAAGGAACTCATGTGTAGATGCGAAACAGCGAACGCCAACTCTGGCGGCGGCGTTGACGCTGGCGCTCATTGCGGCCTTTAGCAGGAGAGAAACATGGGGAAGCGCACAGCACGCCGTGATGGACCCTGTTTCCTACTGGAACATGCCAATCGCTGCCCCGCCGCAGTGGTCTAGTGGCTAAGGTACTCATCTGCTGAGCCGCAAGTCACGGGATTGAATCCCGGCTGCGCTGGCTGCATTTCCGATGGAGGCGGAAATGTTGTAGGCCCGTGTTCTCAGATTTGGGTGCACGATAAAGAAAATTTCCGGAGCCCTCCTCTACGGCGTCTCTCATAATCATATGGTGGTTTTTGGAACGTTAAACTCCACATATCAATCAACATGCCAATCGCTGCTAATGGGCATTCGCAGTAAGGGTGGTTACGCCGCACACCGCATTGAGCTTGACCATATTACGGTTCGCATACAAAACAAAAACAACAAAAAAACGCTAGCAGTTGTTCTGTGTACGAATGGAAGCAACGAGTGAAGATTCTTAGAAATGGGACGCAAACGACTATGCGCCTGATCTCGCTGCTGCCTTTCATGAAGGCCTGGACGCACGGAAGATTGGGCTAGTTTGTAGGACATTATGAAACAACTTTGAAGCGCCAAAAAAAACAACAACAACAAGGATGGAAGAGAAACAGTCTACACGAAAATCGCTAATTTGGAAAGGAAAATAGGTACAGCCCTTTAGACAGTGAAGACGTCTAAACGGGTGCGCCTAGTGACGTCCTAGTGACGTCTGGTATGACGTCTCTAGGACGGTAACTTGTGTCACGTGATGACGCGGTAAATTCTCCTAAATCGTGACGCCATCGCTTGATGACGAATTTCACGTCACTCGCGTTTACGCACCAGCGCTCGTTGCATACATGCACACGCTCTTTCGTGGTGCTCAACACATTTGGGCTCTCACTGTTTTACGACGGGATTTCATACAGTTCCGTTATTCTCGCAACGGTACCAAGTCTGACAAACCAACAAAATGTTGTCAGGCATGAGATATGTAAATTCAACTCGCCTATATTCACCGTCGAAGTCGGAAGGTCGTCGATGGAATGTGCGTGGTCACTGGCGCTGTGATCTGCCTCCACAGATTGTGTCTGTGGGAAATACAGAAAAAAAAAAGACCGATGTCTGTTTTCTCGCCGGAGCCAGTTTTCCCCGTATTTTTTTTTACGCCAATCAACGCTTTGCAAGTCTGGATTAGTTCTTTTGTCTCCGTCTGTGTGCGCTGTAACGTGCCTGTGGTGCAATACTGTGTAGCCCACCTGTCCCCCACGGTGGAATAGTGGTGCTCAGCTGCTGACCCGAAAGTCGCCCACTTCAAGTGTCCCGACCCCGTTCTAGCACCACTACCCTTTCTGCATCTTTTTTTTCTGCCGCACTGCTGCAGAATGGAATGGCCTTCCCCGCGACATCATTTCTATCTTTTGTCCATCACGTTTTGCTCAAAGTGTATCTATGTACCTGTCTCGTTAATAAATTGTGGCATAAGTTACATCTCAGTACAACCCACCCAACCCACCCATCTCTGTACAACCCATGTAACACCCTCTTGAGGGGTCTTTAAGGTAATAAAGTGAAGAGAAGTGAAGTCGTGTTTTCGATGTTGGCCGCGGCGATCGTATTTCGATTGGGGCGAAATATTAAATGCTAATGTACTGTGCGATATCAGTGCATGTTTAAGAACACCAGACGGTCTCGAAATTCCGGAGCCTTCCACAGCGGCGATCCTCATAGTCGTATCGTGGTTTTATGACGTTAAACCCCAGATATGATAATGTAATCCGCCAAGCCATCCTCGTGAATGATTACGTCGATGCGTGAAGATGAACTTACCATAAAGACAAACGCTTCCACGACGTTCTCTGGGATCACGTTCCTGTAGGAACGCGATGAAAGCAAAACAGAAAAGCTGTTATAGAGGCAGCGTAAGGTTGTTCTACACTTAACGGAGCTGTTGAATCACACGTGGTGATCTGTGCCGTCCTGCAACAATCAGGCGTCTATTTCGACTTGCGCATTACGTTATTACGTTTGCATCGTATAGCCCCGATGAGTCTGTAAAACAGAATGCGTGAACCCGTGGAACAGCTGTTTGTTTTAACTTGCATTTTTACAGACTGTAGGAACACTCAGTTCACGCGTGAGCAATCTCTCCTTGAAGAATGGTAGTGGCATCAAAAGGTAAAAGAGACAAAAGACCGGCGTAACCCAAACTGCTTATGGATCACTTGAGACTCCCCCCCCCCATCTTTATTGTACTTTGAAGATGCGTACAGCGTGCAAAAAACACTGTCTTCCTCAAAGGGAAGCACATGGGCATACGTAGCGGCACTGGTGTTCACTTGTGTTTCCATTTGTATGTTTCTGTGTATGTTTCATTTGTGTGTGGAATTGTATGTCGCGTACTCATTATTGAAACCCCTTCCCATCTGTGTCGATTACCGTGAGTGTGCCGCGAAGTGAACACCAAGCGCTGCTAGGAAAGCGCAATGGAGCGCGAGCATTATATACGAGTGCGCAGCTGTGGAGAAAAGATAAACGGGAGAGGAGAGACGAAGCGCAGGTAGCGCTATGCCACCTTCTCCCACCTCCTCGCGCTCACGCGAGAAGAGAAGGGAGAGTAGGCGCATGCGCAGAGGAAGGAGCGGACGGTCGCCGAGGGACAGACACAGCCTCAAGCAATTGCTGCTTCGCATCTAAAATAGTTCCCAGCATACCTGAATATGTCGAGCAGCGAGTCGGCCCTGAGGGTGGCGTTGAATCGCTTGTGTGTAGGAAGCTTCTTCGCCCCGACGCCAGGGCGCATGAGCAGCGCGGCGATCATGCCGCTAGTCGCGGACCACAGCGTGACGAGCGAGACGTAGGCGACGGTGCACAGTGCGAGACGGGCCCCTTCCGCCGTCGGCTGGCCACCGAGCGTGCTCACTACGCTTGTGATGTACAGAGGGATGACCAGACACTGCAGCACCCGCACGAACAGCTCGCCCGGAAGACGCAGCAGGCTCCGCTGTGAGCGTAAAACTTCGGATATTAGGGAAAACGCCTTATAAACCTCATTAATCGTCAAAATTGGCTTTGGACGTCCCGTGGTTTCGACACAAACACGGGTGATGCAAGAGCCATCATCACGAGGGGACGTTACAGATTACGTTACACAAGGGGACGTTACAGTAAAGTGGTGTCCCATGACGATGTCGTAATATGACATCGTCACATAGACCAAATGTGGACTGATTACGTAGGCAGTGCAAAATAAAATTAGGTGTACAAAGCTATGAATGCCTCCTATCCTGAAAGTGGCACGAAACCTCGTTGTATGCTGAAAACTTTCGGAAAGAAGCGTGTTAGAATGAACATACTGACTGAGAAGCAACGGAAGATGGCTCTGACCTCTCAGTGGTCTTTGGCAAATGCAGGATATACGGTGTGAGTTTTCAGCACGAGACATGGGGCGGGAGACAATCCACAACCTAATGTAGTTGGGGATTCTGCGGAAGTTTAAGTAAGGCCCCACAATTTAATAAGGTAGATGCTGAACCAATGCCGAATTGACTGTGTGTCAGGTCGAAGAATTATACAACGCCCGATGTGGCCTCCGCGATTAGGAGCTAATCGCGGAGGCCACGCTCCCGAGGAGGCGCAGAGGCACGAAATGACACTTGTTGGACTCTGAAGTTATGTTTCAGTCTTTAGTGCATCGCCTTCAAGTGAAAGAGGCCCCTCCGATTTTTGTGTTTTTTTATTATTATTGCTATTGTAGCGCGCAAGCGTTTGCTCAAAACCCCCGATTTTTTTTCGTCTTGCTTTCAAATCAAGAATTATATGATAGCACGCACGCCGTTCGTGATCTGGATGTACCGGTAACTCATTTCTTTTCTACTCGTTTCGCTGTGTGAGAAAACTGGTCGTACGAAGGCGGCGCTATATGAAATAACCATATATCATCACTTATTGTCCCTATAAAAAACTATTTTTAGGGTATTACATGAAGGGAGGAGGGACAAGAGCATCAATAACACTATGGTCACTATTACGCCATTGTAAAACTCACGAAAAGATACAGTATACATGTCTGAAGTCGGAAAGCGATACATGGAGGCAGTATAACTGGTAGGACCAATGATATTACAAGAGAACAGTGCGAATGATAGGCACAGTGCATTTGTAGTAGATTAAGGCTTTACAAAAAAAAAAACATGAAATTATGTGCCTAAATTTGTTGGAATAGCGTTCATTTTCAATATTTCCGGGTGGCGCAGCTCAACAAGGATTCACTCGAAATACTAAGCTGCTCAGTCTGTACAGTTTCTCTTTCTCTTGTGCCACCGCCAGACTGGACTACCCCCTCCGCTCCCCCTTACGGCCTTTGCAGCGGCGGATGCGTTCGCTTGCCACCGCAGCACCGTGGTAGAGCTGTCAGCTCACCATTCCAACAGCCCCTCAATCTGAGGGACCCAACGTGAGGTTGCGACAACCTCATGCGTCAAGCCAGAGAGCAACTCGTCAAGAAAATTGTATTTCACTCTCGGCGAAAAAGGGAGTCGAGTCCGGCCGTGCTTGTCTGGCTCATTCTAAGTTAGCTCATACAAATGCATGCCTCTAACAGTGGAGTGCTCTGTGACCGATGAGGAGGACGCTCACCTGAAGCTCGGAAAGGTTCAACGGATTGAGAGCAGCCCCTATTGCGAAGCCCAGCACTAGTGACAGCAGGACAAACAAGACGACCAGGTTGTTCATCACCACCTCGAGGATGTCGGGACGTTGCTCCATGTCCTGCTGTGTTGCGGGAAGGCGCGGACCGTAAGTTCAGTGAAACTCACGTAGGCATCAGTGAGTAGGCAGTGGGCATCATATTCAAATTGCATGCAATAACAGATCGCGGATGAATGTTACTGCGAGGAGGACCAGTCTTAGTAAGAAGCTGAAAAAGGTCTCCAGCTAAGAAGAGACAAAAATTACGCGCAGCTTCAACTGACGTTGTGAATGTTGATTTAACGGTGGTGCTGGCGGCATCAGCCGACACGCTCTAGACTAGCTAAGGCCTCTTCCCTCCTCAGGGACGTCTGGAATTACGGCAGGCTTGAAGGATGCGTTCTCCTAAATGCCGATTGCAGCGCGCTCTTTAGTGTACTTAAGACGCGTTGCGAATCCATTCATTCATGCTGTCTCCAGTTTCCCGAGAGCGCCGACAAAGCAGCTCCGTCGTAGTGTGGTGACGTAGCCCTAGGACAGAAGGATATGAAGAGGCCTTAGGGCTTTAGCTAGTCTAGAGGATGTTGCATCAGCGCGACTCTCCTCCGCTTGCGCCTGAGCTCGACGCACCCTTTCTCCTCTCTCATCAGTACCGCCAGTGTTAAAGCGTGCGCTACCATTGGTAGACTTCTACCAAGTGCGCAGCCAATCGTGCACTCTCACTCTGTTTTCCTCTTCATACCACCTGCTCCGCTTCCACCATAGCTTCGCCTTTGTTCCTTCTCTTTTCTACCCATCTTAACCCCCTCCACGTCGCTAACCTTTTTCTACCAGGTTCAACTCGCCACAGAATACTTGCTTGTTTGTAATAGGCGGTTTGTAAAGCCTTTAGAGTACTGACCATCACGCAGTGGATAGCATGCTCTGCTCCTCTTGTCGTGGACCAGGAAGTCGTGGGTTCAATTACTGTTGACGTAACTTTTTTTTTCATCCGATCGGTTGCATTTTAGACGTCATTTCTGTGACGGAAATACGTTGCTTAAGTATTGTTCGACGCCGGCATAAAACACTTTCGCGTCAACAGAAACAAAACTTTTTTTCCCTCTTCCAGCCATATTATGCTAAATAGAACCTTGTGTTTCGTTTTCTACCTTTCTAGAATTGCCTGCTTGAAACTTTGCTGTTGAGTTTTTTTATCGTAAGTACTCGTTTTCTTTAGTAAATGCTACTTTTATTTTTAGGATCTCTATACTTACCTAATTAATGTTGTTGCACATGAACATTATTTCAGTAAACCAATCTGTACTTACCTGCGAACTGTGACTGCGGACGCTTGCCTTGCGCACTCGCTCGTGTCCGACGCTCTCCTTGGAGGCGACGGAGAAGCCGTCGTGACGCTTGAGGCGTCCGCTCGATGGACCTGCCGTCGACTGCAGACGCTGGGAACGCCTGGTGCTGCTGGTGGACTGCGCATAGCGTCGTTAAAGCCTCGCTACATAATTCATAGATACGTAATTCTAAAGACCCTGCTTCTTACGCTGCGCTGGTAATGTGACGCTGTGCACAAAAACGCGGGCGTTTCCTACTCTTCGCTAGGACGATACGGTGCTGCCTCCTACCAGCGGCTCTGCGTTTCTGAGATTACTGCCAGATGACATCTATATATCACGCAGCGCCTCCAGGCAAAAGACGTTAGATGACAGTTCAACGAAGCACGCGGCCAGTTTTTTAGGGGCTACATACATCCTCGGCGTATGTATGTAGCCACGTCTAGTTTTTAGTTGTTGCATTGTTTACTAGATGGCGTGGCTACCTCTAGTTTAGTTCTTCGATTGTTTACTAGATGGCGGGGAGCGTTGTAATAAAATCCGTTCGCTGTTGGCGCGTGCTCGGAGTTGCCCGATAAATAAGGCCGCAGAGCGGCGAGCGCGCAAGGCGGCGGCAGCGCGTGCTCGCAGACAGAATCCCGATGTGCGAGACCGCGAGGCAGAAGCGCTCCGTGAAGCTGCGCGACGCCACCGCCAAGATCCCAGCGTTCAAGAACGAGAGGCCCAAGCGTCACGGCACCGGCGCGAGGACCCTGCCGTACATATACACACGCAGTGTTTCTCACGTCTTTCTTGATGATGTAGTGGGCGAACTTTCACTGAACAGTCACGGTTTTACCGATGATTTCCCCTCAGGAGCTTCGCCCACTCATCATCATTCACCCCGTGGGTATGCTGCAATTTTTTAAGTGTGAATACACTTTATAAGCGACCCCAAACCATCCACCGCCGTCGGCGGCGTCCGCAGTCTTCTCTCTATCTTTAAAAGAAAGAGGACTTGGCGGGCCGCAGCGCGACGCTCTACCGAATAAGCCCCGGACGCGACGCTGATATCGGTGTCAGTAACGCGCCTTATACCCCCTCCCCCTTCGCTCGCTCCTCCGCTCTCCTCGCTCGCTGCAGCTGCGCGCGCACCCCTCTCTCTCGCGCGCCCGCCTTCTCTCTCAGTCTCCCGTCGAGAGCGGGTCGTGAGGGGGAGTAAAGTTAAAATCCGTTGGCATTCGCCAGTGAGTTAACGTAAACTTCCCCGTGTGATCGAATTGCGATTCCCAGGAACCATTACACCATAAAGGCACCATAGTGTGAATAATAAATATAATAGTGCGAATTAATAAATACCCCTCATAGCATCACCCCGTGTATTCGCACTTAACCATGTTCACCCTCGGGGAAATGCTTGGGAGTTTTTTCTTCGTTACTTTGCCAATCGCCTCCCAGAAGACGTGCACTTATATCATTCCTCATAAGACGTTGATGAGCACAAGCACGTCACAACGCACCCCAAACTTCTCCGTCGTCTTGAGGTTGCCCCGTTCCAGTCTTTTGGGTGCCGGGCACACCTGCGCCTGCTGGGCCGTGGCCGCTGCCTCCTGCAAGCGACAATCCACACGCTTGTCAGTTCTCGGCGTCCCGTAGTTTGTGACCACAAATGCGAAGTGTGTTAATTAGAAGCGCAACGTGGACGTCAGCTTTAGTTCTGTCAAGCTCAACATGACTCGAGCGCCTTGAGTTCGAGCATATACAGCAACCTCTACCCGTATCACAGCCAATGCTCACTGTAGACATCGTGAATTTCACGCTACACCATTCAGCAGTCAATGCATTAATGGCGGCGCAGCGATGACGTACAAGTAGGGAAGCCCAGGAGAGTTGGTACAACAGGTGGTCGAAATTTCCAGGCCTCCACAACGGCATTTCTCATAATCCTATAACATCATGTATAATATCCATCATCCTATATAGTTTTGGGTCGTAAAACCCCAACCATTATCGTTATTATAACATGATGATAGTATGGAGCGCCTCAAGGTCACGAGGTGCTCCATATCACCATCATCGACATCACTGGGCATTACGCAAGTGGTGGATCCGTCGACTTTTGTTCCTCTCGATATGATTGCGGTGCAGCCGGATAACCAGTGTGAACGAGATAACCTAATAAAGGCCTCAACAACATTAGATGTTCATATTATTAGATCACAAGCCTCGTCCATAACTATATAATTGCATGCAAGTGTTCCATTCGTTAATTAAGGCAATAATTTGCCCCATGTCGGCGCTGCATTTTTTTTTCGCTCTCCTGTTCTTGTTATGAACCACAGCCGTACACGTGGGACCATAGATATAGGGCCATTTTGTTGCCGACCATGATTCCACGCATTGGGACCGCTCTCACATGCGATATTTTCAGTCGAAATGAAGCCAAGCGTTAGGTGATAGCCGAAAGATTATCGCCAGCGCAGTGATTATACGAGTGCATATGATAAAAATGGTACCTCGGTCACGGTCAGTCCTTTTGGGGCGTCCATGCTCATCGTCGTTCCTGAAGCAAGTCTCGACATGCGTCAGACGTTTGGCGAAAGACTGATGATGCGATTCCGATAGACTACACTATGACGATGATGATCGTTATGTAGGTGAAGACGACGCATTCTTGAAGCATCATTTTGTTAGGATGATTTAATACGTAACATAATAATGTAGTTGTTGGGTTTAATGTCATTAAAGATAAAGGATTTTAGCTGTAAAACAGACACATTCAAAAACTCTTTTTTTCCGAGAACAACGCGTGAATGGAATCGACTTCCATCCAATGTAATTGATTGTAATACACTAAATTCTTTTGCTAAAGCATTGTCAGATTATCTGTAATTTTTTCGGTATCTTGGTCGTCACTCCGCTTTCCTAGTATCGCGGCATCTGCAACTGATATGTGATTGTGAAACAATAATGTCGTTCTGATGTTTTTTCTTTTTTTGTTGTTGTTGATGTTGAGTGTGTCACATTGTAACTCTGCTTTGTTTAGCGGTGCACCTCGGTGGTGTTACTAATTACAGTGTCCTCTTGTACAATCCAGGTTTCTCCTGCTCTTTCCAGTCATGTCTTGTATATTATTAATTGTTTCTATCAGTGTAGGTCTGGCTTGGTACCAAACAAGTTGTTAATAGTACCTGCTGTCACTTTGTTGATTGCGTAATTGTATATTTTTATTTTTATTTTGTTCCCGCTCATTGTTGCGGTTGTTTTGTGGACGTATTTGCGTATGTTATCGCATTCTTTTATTTTTTCTGCCCGCCCCTGCCAAAGGCCTTTTTCAAAGGCTGGCAGTAAATCTGAAAATAAATAAATAAAAATAAAACCAGCACATGATTATTAGAAACGCCGTTGTGGAGGACTTCAGAAATTTCGACCAGCTGGTGTTCTTCAACGTGCTTTATGATTCTCAAAATTCCCGTAACTAATTCTTTGCCATTCCCCCGAGTGGGTATGAGCCGTGGTTGAGGCACCATCATCAGCAGCAGCATGCATCGGGGCCCGCAAATATGATCGTGTAGACGAGATGGTCGACTAACTCGTGCGAATACCGCTTAATGGTCAATTATTTCAATTTATGGCTAATTGCGATATCGTATTTACAAAAATAAAATGCGACTATTCCCTTTCCCTGCCTCGTTCTTACCATATATAATTTTGCCTTAACAAATATCATCTTTATTGTCTCTTCCCTGCTGTAATGTCATAATAGACTGACAGTATTGGCACTATTGTTAAATAAACTATTAAATAAATAAATAACAGAGAACAAAGTGTTAGTGCTATATATACTGTGACGTCATCGTGACGTTGATAGATTATGCGCAGTTTGAACCGACCTGAAGTCGCAATGGCTGATTAAAAGTGGAGCTGGTGATATTAACCTTAGCTTGTCCATTGCCGAAGGTACCAGAACGAATGGTGGTGGTGGTAGTGGTTAGAAGAGGAAAAAGACACCTAATTTCTGCAGCCCGGTAGGGAGCACGGCGCTGTGCCTGAACGAATGCGAGACCTTGTTTTTTTCCGGGATAGTAATCTGCCGCTCCTCCTCTCCTCAACACGTGTTTCTCTTCCGCCGTAGCTTCGCTTCTGCTCTTCTCCGCTCTACCAATGCCACCTAGAAAAATTATTCAGGCCTGCTCAATACTCCGAGAAAATGGTAGGTGTAATCTTAAGAGACAAGAACAGAGCAGAGTGGATCAGGGAACAGACCGGGGTTAAGGATATCATAGTTGAAAATCAAGAAGAGGAAATGGACATGGGCCGGGCATGTAGCGCGTAGACAGGACAATCGCTGGTCATTAAGGGTAACTAACTGGATTCCCAGAGAAGGCAAGAGGGTTAGGGAGAGACAGAAGGTTAGGTGGACAGATGAGATTAAGAAGTTTGCGGGCATAAATTGGAAGCAGCAAGCACAGGACCGAGTTGACTGGCGGGACATGGGAGAGGCCTTTGTCCTGCTGTGGACGTAGTCAGGCTGATGATGATGACTACTCCGGGCATGGCCTCTTACGTCACCCTGTTTTATCCCTCGTCTCCTGCCGAGTTGACGTGCACTTGCACACTCCCGCCGTTCGATTGCTAAGCCTGATGAAGCCTGTCGCGGTGTGCTGGTGCAGCGCCTCCTTCATTTCTTTCAATGCCAGTGCAAACGTGCGCTTCTCAACGGGAGCCGTCAGTCCGCCTTAGTTCAGGGAGTGGTCTCGATGCGACGCTATACATGATGGGTAGCGCTGCTTGCGTCACACGTGCTTCCGAGCGCTTTCACCCGGAGATGCGACATACGTGTTTCCCCACTCCAATATAATACGTCGATCAGACTCGTTCTTTCGTGCTTTTTCTTTGTAGTTCGAATCAACGCCGTCGCCGCATCATAGTGCAGCGCATGCAGTGGCGATGCAGTGACGGTTCCCCATTGGCTGCTGGCGTAGTGCCACGAACGGCGACACGCTATCTCAAAACAACGTATCTTTTACAAAGCCAGCGTGACCGCCGATATTGTGAACACAAGGAACGCAAGGCGCCTGTACACAGCGCAACAAAAAAATAATTCATGTGATTTCCATCGTGAGGCACTGGCTCAGGGGCTCTCTCCCCCATGCCACAAAGCACACGCCAAGGCTAGGCGGTGGGCGAGAGCAGTAAAGTGGCTAGAGGAGAGGGTGGTGAACGGCTGCATCGGGTGCATCTGGCTGGCATTTGTGTGCGTGTGTTTTTTTTTTTTTTGGCGGTGGCATGAATATGGTTGTGTTTTTCTGCATTTTTGAAGGGCTGCGCTTGGTGATGTGATGTGCTTCGTTCACTGAATGTTCGCGTAGCGTACGTACACCTGCAAGCTCTTCCAACTGAGAATTGCTGCGGGTCCAAATGGTCGGCGCTATTTACAATGTACGGAAAGTTTTGAGTGTTTCCATTCCTCAAGGATGGCGAAAAAGCGAAATGAGACCATGTTGTTCGTCGAGAAGACATTGATATGTGTTTTCTTCGTGATTCGAAGGTATGCCTTTGATTTGTTCTAAATGCACCATATGTTACTCGTTCGGCTCTTTCTGTAAAGCGATGTCGTGTGCATTTCTGACTCGCAAGCGTAAGTCTTGACATTAGACACCTTTAGATGAGCGTCGCTGACGACTCACCCTTGCTATAACGTATAGCGTCCCGTGAGAGTGCTAGCAAGTGCATAGATTTCGCTCTTTTGACGAGCGCGTTTGCCGAGACGTGGTCTGCTTGGCTGCAAAACGACGGCGAGACGAAGTAGAGGCATGTTCGCGCTCCGCTGAACAGACTTGACTACTAGACTGAAAGATGCGTTTTACGTTCCGCTGCTCGAACCCTGAACACAACAACATGAAGCAATAAGCGTGCGCAGCAACATAGTCTCAGAACAGCTGCTTTTCCTCCATGTTCGGTGAACGTTTCGCTATTTGTGGGTAGCGCCGTGGTCTTATTGTAACATCGCCGGTTACTTCGTTGGGAAAAGGGGAGGAAGAATGGTGCGTGACATTGTGCATCTGTTATGTAGTACGTAGCATTTTTTTGCTACTTCTTTGAGCATTTTCGTGGTATTATAATTATGCGCCAGTGTCGTCAGCACGTTCGCCCAATCTATTGCCTTGAAAATTGAACTGCTGCTCTTCAAACAATTTTGGATGCCTCTAGACACCTCCCAGATTTTCCTGTTTTGTAACTTAATCAGAGGCATGCGGAGCAGAAGCCTGCGATAAATCGCTTTCTTAAATGTTTTTAGGGTGTGTGCGCTCCATTTCCAGCCGGAACATTTAAGGACGACTACCAGTACACCAATCCGAGAACCGGCACATGGTACAAAAACGCCAACTCAGAAGAGAAATTGGCAGATTGATTGATATGTATGGTTTAACGTCCCAAAACCACCATATGATTAAGAGACGCCGTAGTAGATGACTCCGGAAATTTAGACCTCATGGGGTTTTTTAACGTGCTCGCAAATCTGAGCACACTGGCTTACAGCATTTTCGCCTCCATCGAAAATGCAGCCGCCGAAGCCGGGATTCGATCCTGCGACCTGCGGGGTCAGCTGTCGAGTACCTTAGCCACTAGACCAAGGCGCGGGGCAGAAAAAAAAAACGGCAGAAGTTTAGCAAATAAATAGGAATAGTTTCAAGGCATCTTCTGAGCAACTTACGTGTCGAGCACGCGTGCGTGCGTTTAAATAAAGAAGAAACACTGAACAAAATTTACCTTATTTATTTCGTCACTTCTTTGGGCCATCAAGCTTGCCTCCTATAAACAGGCCACACAGTGAGTGAAGCTTGCGTAATACTACTACCCTCTTCCCGAAAGAGTATTTTGTGACGTGGAGCGGCTCTGTGTCGACTCTCGCGCGAGAACCTTCGTATCGCGCGCGACTGTTCGTACTATGGGCGTCTAATGAAACGCGAACAGCGGAAAACGTGGCCCAAGCGCTAGCAACGGTGTGCGCTCCGTCCAGTCCATCAACACTGGCAGGAGCGCACATCCGATTTGGTAGCACTGCGCGATGTCTCTGCAACGCAATGTTTTTGCTTGCGTTCCAGTTCTCACGTGACGCTGATGGGGGAGGCGTGGACGTGCCAGGTGATTTTGGTCGTTTCACCTTTAAATTTCTTTTATTTTTTTGTTGCCTTCGTTTCGAATATCAGAACTACAAGAGAGGCGAAAGTAATGAATTCCAGGGGAATCACGCATTGTTGTCAGACCGGATGTGCGCAGTGGACCTGTCCATAGTGGGATCAAGGAGTATTAAAGAAAAATTGCTGGATTGGAAGCTCCCGCAATGCCTTGCCAGCAGAAGTGAAGCCAGCTTTTGCCCCTGCCAAGATGGCGAAAAAATGCTCTTTTATGATAGTGCCCACGTAAAGATCAAGTGGCTTTAATATGTTGTGTACGTGCTACGTTAGTTATATAACAAAAGATAGCTGTTCCGGACGAAATAACGAACAGAAACGAGTACGGATGACTGAATCTTCGAAGAACTTTGCCTACCATTAGAGGCTCACTAAGGAAAACTAGTAATTGTAAGACGCACTTGGAGCACTATGTGTCCCGAAAAAGTTCCCACATTAAACTCGGTGGGCGTGCGAGTGTAAGGCCCCGTTTTTAATCGCTGAACGGTAATACTTTGTCACGCCCCTAGTAAGGTGGCCGCCACAGTCGCCATCTTGCCGGAGGAACGGCTTCACTTCTGCGCTATCATTTCCACTCCAGCAATTTTTTTTTAATCCTCCTTGAGTGGGATTACTGGATGGTGCACACTACACCTCTTGTAATGCTCGCGCCACGCGCTCCGCTGTTCGTGTTTCGTTTGATGCTGGCTGTGCAGTTTGAATCACACTTGTTAGAAGTGTAGCTCGCAGCTATGGACTCTTGCGCCATCTGTAGCTGCTGCCTCACGTTAGATACTAACTTCCGTTCATTTTCTGAAGGCATAGCACGGGAACCCAGCATGAAGTATGGTGATGCTTGATACCGCCATGGTGTCTGTTCTTGCATAATTTTCAGAAATTTGATTCGAAATTAGCGGCGGCACGTAGCTCGTTGATAACCGGATCATCGCCGACACGCGTTCGCTTTTATGCATACCTCATTGAACATCCCATTGTTATCACTGGTGATTTCGTTACTTCCGCAATAAACCCAACTGACAGCGTCACGCGCCCAGTCTTATCAAAACTTTCTATCAAAACCCCGTACAGGGTAGCAAGCCAGACATTCTAGGTTAACCTCCCTGTCTCTTCCTTTTGTTCATTTCTCTCTCTTCTAAAACAACCATAAAGGTACCAATGCATTCATGGTTTTAATGCCGTGAAGGTTCCGATGACTTGAACGTCGTATGATCTGCTTAAACGGATAACAAACAAAAAATTGATTCGCTGCCATTGATTGTTAGCAGCAACAGTGTTACTCGATTGATTGATTGATTGATTGATTTATGTGGTGTTTAACGTCCCATACCACCATTTGATTATGAGAGACGCCGTAGTGGAGGGCTCCGTAAATTTTGACCACCTGGGGTGCTACGCACTTGTTCACATCTATATACTTACGCCCGTCGCGGTGGTGCAGCGGTGTTACAGTGCTCCGCTGTTGACTCCAAGGTCGCGGGCCCGTGTACTGTGCAGTGCCAGTGCACATTACAGAACACCAGATAGTCGAAATTGCCGAAGCCCTACATTTCGGCGTGCATCATAAATTCGTAATCATTTCGAGGTTTTGGCAAGTAAAACCCCAGGTATAGTTTTACATCTACTTACGTGCCATGTCCACTCGCGGTACAGTTGAACGTTTCTTTTTGTTGAAGGCAGCTGTGATGTGTCGTCCGTCCTATAACCTAAGGCGACCTCCCGTTGCCCACTTTTGTGCGGACGTAATCCTGAATTTTCAGAAACTTTAAATCCACGAGAAAAACAAACAAACGCACGGTGTCAGTCAGCACGTGAAATAAGTTACGTTTTATTTAACGATGGTCGTGGTGATAAAGAAATGAAGGTCACCAGCGGTTGCCTTATGTACAACGGGCATCCGAAAGAGCTGATCATTCGCATCAGCGAACGCTCCCCCATTCCCGTGCTCGCAGTCATTTTCTTTCCCTTGCGTTCACGATGGAGTAACAGTGAGGATCAACATTGACGAATCCAGGCACGGGGCTTACGTGCTGCAGCTATTACAAGGGGCATGCCCTCAGCACTTACTACACTCGCTGCCGAACTATAGGAATAGTGCACAGGGTGTTGGGAGTAAGGCTAACCTCGTGCCTATGAGTCACAACGTGGCACAGAATGGAGCATATACTCTTAATCATTCAACATTCATCTATCTACTGTTTATAAGCAATATGAGGAAATGTAGCGAGTGGGCTTCCGCGCAATATCGAACACCATAACATGGAATGTTGTACAGAACGAGTAACCTTTGAAGTAAAGCCCCCACCGCTTTACACTTAGACGCGCCAGCATTGAACTATACAACCTAAATGATAATGGTGTATATTTGATAAAGCTTTGAAATACATTACTATGAGCCACGCTACAATGGTGCTACTAATAGGAGACCTCTTATTTTACACTTGTTGCCTCAACATCGAAATACATCAGGCTTCATATTTTACAGAATCATACCGTACAAATAACGTCTCGTATACTTTGACGAGGATAGATGGGAGACGGTCGTCGTCAGAGTGCTTTTCTTCACATATACGGTATCTAATCACCATCTAATCACCAGTCACCAAACCTATACTGCTTGATGAACCAGCTATCAACCATATTAACACTTGAGAACAATATTCATCTGTCGTTCTAAATATCGAGATAATATGATATATGCACCCGAAGGAAAACAACAATACCAACTTGAGACGTTTGTCGTTTCGATGTGGAATAAAATAAATTACCAATGTCCTGCATTTGATTGAAATGGTATTTCTGCGAACGCACAGCGCACGACGGCTATGGCCAAAGGCATGACGTCAAACAAAGGATCAAATGAGTGACATCGAGATAGACTAGGTAGCTAAACTATCACATAGGCGTCCACCAGTAGCCCCTCCACTGCTTTCACCACACGCGGTGAATTAAATAAGACAGTTTACTGCGAGTGGTACGTTCGAAACATGAATGGTTTACGTCTCATGTCGTCCCAATTTCATGTGACGAAGGTACCGGAATAGCCTGTCATGTAGACGCACATTCAAGCCACTTGAGGCGTTTCTAAGCTTGGGACGAGATAACAGATGCTTCTCGATCAAGTTATCTATCCTGTCTCAAAGGCACGACTATTAAACCAAATGTGACTCAGAGAATGCGAGACCAATTGAGAGGCTTATAGCTGTTCGAAAGCGAATTATTCCGGGACTGCGAATATTAGCCGAGCAACAACACACAGCAAGTTAGCTAGAAAGCGTAAAGCAACTTTGCAGCCTTGCCGCGGGCGTCGCTGCGACATTCTCGACTGTTTCGGACAGTAAACGGTTTCGTACGAAGATGGACAGAGAAGCTCAGCGCCAGTATTAGCTAGTCTCCGCAATAAGATATGAGCGGTGTGATAGAAATACAGTGCAGCTTTTAAATATCTATCTGTCTTATTTTCTGGAAGTTATTAGTTCGTCATAACATTTCCCTGTTACGATCCGATAGACCTTGAACATAGCGCACATCAAGTCTTTTAGAGCACCAGAGCCGGTAAACCCTGTGTGAATGCTATTGTTAAGATATTACAAAGACGTAAAACGATGTAGATAAGACAATAAATCTTCATCGTCTCATTAAGTCGCAGCGGTAACGTGGATAAATTTTGCCTTTATACTTGCTCCGAGCCTAATCACAAGTAAAAAGATCAATTACGTTATGCAAAACTAAATACTTCTGTCAGAGTTTACGCAATGAAGCGTACACAGTAAGTGAATAAGAAAGATATATATGGGAAAGACGTTAGGGCAGCCATGCGGAACCCGCCGCTGTTTAAGTTCAATTTCATCTAGAAACTGTAGTTTATCAACGTGCCTGACGCATACTTTGAACTAGGCTGTTCCTCTGCCGAGCTTCATAGGAAACTGCAGTTTCGCAACGGCCTCCGAGATCACACGTGATCCTTGCGCGCTGCCCGATTTCGGAGGCGATGCTTTCGCCGTCTGTACAGCGCGCCCCGCTACGATGAAGGCAGTGTTCGTGAGTCCTAGGGTGCTTCGATGCGCGCGCCCCCGCTTTCTTCGGCGTGTGATGCCTGGATGTTGCATTCCTCAGCGCTACAACCATTCGCGTTAGGCTAGTGGGCCAGTTCCCACCAGAGCGAAACTGGTATGCAGCGGGAGTGTTGATGGCGGCCACCGTAGCAGACGACGCGCAGGTGTCTTCACTCTAAGCGAAGGAGCGGGCACCAGGGCACTCTAGTGGGTCCCAGCGAAGCATCTGGAGCCGCGTGGAGTTTTCAGCTATAGGTGTTTTGAGCTATCTCGCGATGAACGGTATTTTCCGGCTCCCGCAACTGAAACAGTCACGCGAGCTGTGCGCCGTGAGTTTGAAACGATCCAGCAAGATGGCGCAAGCTTGACCTCTCGCGTCTCGAGGGACCGTGGACGACCCTCTGAACCGTTTGGGGCCCGGCCAGCAAGGACAACCGTCGTCTACATTGACGTGATGACGGTGTCCTTGGAGCCCCGGCCGTCTGGGATGCGAGGCTTCTCCAGGTCCTTCAGACTGAGGCGTTCCACGACGCAGGCACCCACGGCGTCGCCAAGGACGTTGATGGCTGTGCGGAAGCGGTCTCTGCAAACAAGAACACAACGACAACAACGTCAAACGAGAACTCGGTAAGCGAGTGGTCGCACGGTGGTATCATCTAATGCATTCGTAGCTGCGGGTGTATCCACGAAGGTGCGAGGCATGCTGTCCGACGAAAGCTGTTGCTTGAATTCTACAAGTTGTAGTTGTCAGCAAGTTTTCCTGCAATACTGTTGTGCTGGTCATCTGTTCCGTTTTCGAAATGAACCTTGTCTGTATGGGTTTCTAAGTGCGGGTTTGTTGTTGTTAAATTCCTGAGCGAGCAGCGTTCACCTTGAGCGCCTCCGGATAAATACTCCTAGTTTTCCCGTTAATAAGGCAACAATATAGTAAAAAAGGCATAATTGATTTATGCTTCAAATATTTTTTCATGCAAAAAATTTCTTTATTCTTACAATATCTGCGCATGTTCTGTTACGCCGTTACGATAACTAAATTTGTTGAGAGATCAGTGATGTTTCCTTCACCACGCCGTTGTGGTTTGCCCATGTACTCAGCTGCTGACCCGCAGGTCGTGGGATCGGATCCCGGCTGCGGCGACTACGGCGGCAAACTAATTGCATGAATAGACTCAGCAACGTGTACTCTGAGTAGTGCCAAACTGCTGTCCCAATCCTATTTCATCTTTCTTTCTCTCTTTCTCTCTTATACAAACACAACCACACACATATTTCGGGGTCAACTCTTGTTCACGTGATCTAGTGAAGGGTTTGTTAACTAGTACTTTACTGAGTGGTCAATACAGTTAAATGTTGTTCGAGCGCAGCTCAATCGTGTTCAGGCAGTACATGCTCACAGGAACCAGTCGACGACGATGATGAGTGTGATGTCGTCAGCAGGTAGCCCGACAGCGTTCAGGACCATCACCATGGTAACCAGGCCCGCCTGAGGAATTCCAGCGGCACCGATACTGGCAGCGGTTGCCGTGACACTACAGAGAACGCATACATTATATCGTCTGTCATAAAAAAAGTTCGTGCAACGTCAGGGGTGAATCATCATAGGATGTATGTGCATTCACAGATGAGCAGTTGCAAGCGATGTGCAGGCAGCAAGAGGTATCAAGGCTGGCCCTCTGGTCGTGCAGGAGACTAAACACCGTGTCGCAGGACGTAGTGGAGAGATCAACGAACCTCACGGCTGTAATTTCACCGCACATTCTTTTTTTTTTTTTGCAGTGGCAGTGCCGTCATCGTCTCCTTTTGTGACAGTATGACGTCGAGGAAATGCCGTACGCGTTTTTCACTGCCACAAATATAACACTTATTATGCCACGTAAAGAAAGCAAAACAAGATGTGTTGTTACTTATGTTGTTACTTGTTTTGTAAAGTCGCGACATGATTAGCACTTGGGTGAAAATCCCTCGTTGGCAGAACAAAGAGCAACACTGGATGATAATATCCACACACACAGATGTATGTATGTATGTATGTATGTATGTATGTATGTATGTATGTATGTATGTATGTATGTATGTATGTATGTATGTATGTATGTATGTATGTATGTATGTATGTATGTATGTATGTATGTATGTATGTATGTATGTATGTATGTATGTATGTATGTATGTATGTATGTATGTATGTGTGTATGTATGTATGTGTATGTATGTATGTATGTATGTATGTATGTATGTATGTATGTATGTATGTATGTATGTATGTATGTATGTATGTATGTATGTATGTATGTGTGTATGTGTGTATGTGTGTAACTCCACCTACTTGTGGGGAACAGCAGATGAGTGCGTGTCGAAGTCGTACCTGATGGCGATGACCTTCCCGACGTCCAGGGGCACTTTTCGCACCTGCGCGATGAAGATGGCGGCTACGGCTTCGTACAGCGCCGTGCCGTCCATGTTGATGGTGGCCCCGATGGGAATGCAGAAGCGGACCACCTTCGGGTCCACCTTCACCTTGTCCTCGAGCGTCGATATTGTCACCGGTAGCGTAGCAGAACTGGGAAGCGGAGCAACGTATAGAGTATATAAGCGGACTAGTTTATTTGTTCCTTGGTTGCAGGAGAAATCAATCAAGTCTAGAGGAACTTGCTGCTTTTGAAACTGGTAACTCGTGTGGATAGAATAGGTAAACTTGAATTGGGCGTACTAGCTGTTATGCATGCACTCACACGCACTCAAACATAAAAAAAAGAGCGTGCGAGTGCGTTGAGTCATCACGCGTGTGGACTTACCCGTGTACCGATTATGGCTCTAATTATTTTATAGGGATAAATTAGCTCAATACTATTTAATCCCGCATTGCTTGAAGTGCATCGAAGTCCATCAAATAGAGTCACCTATCCCTTACTGCAAACGAAACGAGGACACCAAACAGAGTTTAGGAGCTCGTTCTGCAGTCTACAGCGTCTAGTACAGCCTTACTTGTCCGGTACTTCGTACACTCTATACGTGACTTACAAGTGACGTACAAACGCATATAATTATGAAGCATCTCAAGTAATATAGGCTCCTAGAATTTTCAAGTGTCCGACAAATGTACGCTATGACATCGACGCAGAGATCAGACGAGAGGCGTGCCCAACCTGGAAGCGGTGCCGAAGGCCGTGGCGATGGCCTGCAGCATGTCGAGAAGGAAGCGGAACGGCGGCTGCCGCATGACAAGCCAGTAGAGCAGCGGTAGCACCACGAAGCCGTGCAAGAGCAGGCCCAGCAGCACGGTCAGGGCGTACAGGCCGACCTGACCGGCGACCACCGTGAAGTCTTGCATCTCCAGCATCTTGGCCATCACCAGGAACATGACGCCCACCGGTGAGAACCTGCGAACGTGCGCGTGATTGTCGCACACTAGCGATGCTACGTTACCGAGTCCGATGGCTAACCACGAAACACTAGCGCAAATGTGAGACAGAGACACAGAAAGTGAGAAAAAAAAAAGCGCCAACTTTCAAACAGTGTTTATTTAAAGCGATGTCCGCCCCGGTGGATCGGTGGTTGCGGTGTTCGGAGGCTGACCGGAAGGTCGCGGGTTCGATTCCGGCCGGGGCGGTTGCATTTCAGTGGAGGTGAAATAGTAGAGGCACGTGTACTGTGTGATTACAGTGCTCGTTTAAGAACACCACATGGTCTGAATTTCCGGAGCCCTCTACCTACGGCGTTCCCCGTAATCAATATAGTGGTTACAATTACGGCTGTCCTAACAGTGGGAAACGCAACTGAATAGTCCTAGAAAAAAACACAGAGTGCTTCTCAAGGAGTATACGTGAGTGGCTCACCATACAACCACCTTGGTGATGATCATCATGGCGTCGGAGAGGGATGTGAATATGTCCAGAAGGGGCTTTCCACTCTCGCCCATCTGGCCCACGGTGGCTCCCAGCGCGATGCAGAAAACGATGAGGCCCAGGATGTTGGTGCCGGGGTCGTGCACCGTCTTGTAGTCCCAGTCGTACATAGATGCTGGATTAAGAGCAAAAGCGACCGTGCATGAGTACAGATTGAGGTATCACCGTGTGCCAATTTTCGTCATTTTACTTGCACATGTGAAGCCGCGATAAAAATTATTTCCACAGAGAGAATGTATAGTACACTGCAAACAAACCAATGTTTCACGTCGGCATGCTGCGGCAAATTAATGTAACAACTACTAACCATAAATGATTTCGTTTACTTTTCATCTTCAGTGGAGATCGATTTCATCTTTAATTATAGAGATTCGCAGCAGAGTTAACGTAGCAACAATGTATTTATTTTTCTCTAAATCTCAGTTTGCAAAGAAATGTTTAATAAGCTCTTGAGTCTATAGAAATTAACAGCTGAAAACTTTTGAGACTGTTAACTGGCGCACTGCTGCGCATATGGCAAACATTCGTGATCCTTCGTAATAATATGAAGATTAGAAGGCACATGCGTCGGCATCAAGTATCCCTTAATTACGAATCTTTTCCCTGTTTATTCATCTAGGCTGTTATTATCACCCGCTTATCGCCTGATCAACCGGAATTTTCAAAGCCTGGGCAATCGGTGCCCATTGCAGAACGCATCTCCAGTGTACAACGCTGCGGATTACCGATCGATTTTAAATTTCCTGGTTCGTGGTCGGATAGCTCAACTGACTACGCGGAAAAGAAGTCTGCACGTCGTCTCTCGTTCGCTGAAAAGAGGTGTCCAGGCGGCACTCGCACTTCTCTGAAGCTAGATTTGTCCTTGTTTGGTCACGCTCGCTCGCTCTTCAAGATTACGCAACGAGGTGACTACGAGTTTCCTTCCAATGGTCAGCCGACCATCACCTGTCAAGGATTCCTCATACATTGCTTGCACATCTACGGCGCGAAATGTCACTGTGGCATGATCGTCTCTGCACGTTATATGTAAGTGTTCCGTATGGGCAGTTTGTACCTGCTTTTGTACTTGACGAGAGCCCGACAGCCGTAGAGTTTGCGTGTCACTGGCGTAGCACACGAGGCCCGTACCCCCCCTCCTCCCCCCTCTCAATTTTTTAATTTTTTTTCTACGTGGCATACAAACGGCAAAATGACTGTTTGCCGGTCCTGCCTCCACTTCAGATCAAGCAGGTGCCCCCCCCCCCCCATCCCCCACCACCATCGAGAAAAAATTCTGCCTACGCTCCTAATATGTCTGTGTGTGCGTGTGCGCTTGCCCGCGTTCACAAGGCCATGGAAGCACTGCGGCATAATTTTTCCCTAAATCAACCACGCTAGCTTTTATCGGGTTAAGCATGGAAAACTCGTTCACTCGCAAACTACTCGCCATTCATGTGACGATTGCAAGTTCCTTTTTTATATTTTTTTTCACTGAAGGACAATTCAGTAGAGATGGCATGAAAAATATGGCGGATATAGCGAAAAACAAAAAAAAAACTTACTGTTGCTTGCATTACCCGGTGGCTTGATAACAATAGTCGAAAACTGGTATAAAAAGAGAAAAAAAAAGACGTGGCTATCAGAAGAATAAAAAATAAGAGAAAAAAGAAGAAAGAAAAGGAAGGAAGTGCAATTCAGTAAGCCTGCATGATCAGTGTTTTCAACCATCGACATATTCATATGTTACAACAAGATGTTCGCGCTCCGCGCCTGTGAAAAAAATGAAAAAAAAATAAAAAAAGCACCGTCATCGAAATCATTACCACAATCATCATCATCAGCCTGTCTTACGCCCACTGCAGGGTGATCGCTTCTCCCCAACGGTGTCCCACCCGCCCTGCATTGTTTGAACTGATTCCAGGTTACGCCTCGCTCCACCTAATCAACTGCCGTCCTCCGCCGTGCATCCGAACTCTTGCTATTCAGTACAGAAACTTGAACCAGTTGGTAGGCGTTCAGCTTTGGTTGAAGCAGCCCAGACGAAGTAGTAGGAGCACCTATTCACTGCACCTACTACTTCGTCCTCGTACCGTGAGCTCTGATTTAACCAAAGATCTCTGTATTCATTTCTGTGTTCTAACTGACCATCGGTTACCTGTCCTTCGCATGACCTACTTTTCAACTGCGAAGCTGTTGTAGCTCGCCGCAGTTTATGCGACGTTGTTGTTGTTGTTCTATTGTTAGTGGCGCATACCCACTGTGAGGGATTGGCCAAAAATCGAGTGGTTTTAAAATTTACTGTTCAGATTTGGAATAATGGAGGTTTAACGACGTCACCAGAAAACTTCTCAAGTGCACATGCGCCAAAGGAACTGGGCCGACCCCACTACCATGTATGGCAGGTGTGGGTGTCGAAGGAAAGCGAACATGCGGGAAAGAGAAAGGGAAAGCGATAGATAGAGAGAGGAAGAGAAAAATATATAAAAAAAGAGAATAAAGGAACAAAAAGGTGGAAAGACAAAAAGGTGGAAAGAAAAAGAGATAGAACCGAGAGCAAGATGAAAATGGAAAGAAAGAGAAAAAAAGAAGCTGTGAGAGAGGGGGAGAGATAAACAGGAAGAAAATTAGAGATACAAGGAAATCCACAGAAAGAGACAGATGCGAAGAAGAGAGAAAAACAGAGAGCAAGACAGAAAGAAGGAAAAATAAAAAGAAACAAGGAAAGAGAAAAGAGGCAGAAAGAAGCAGGAATAAGGGGAGCAAATGTATAATGTGCGAAGCAGAAATGGGGAGATAGAGAAAGAGATGTAAAGAAAGAATGAGGGTCACCTAGCTGCGCTTTTGCTTCAGGTTTAGAGTTTACAGTAAGTGACTGGGACAGAAGAAAAAAAGCTGTATAAAACAGCTTGACAAAGCCCCATATCCCTGTGCTTGGCATGCGAAGCCGTCACAATTTTTTTCTCTCGCATATTGTCTACCTCTATGATATATGCTTTTGTTTTCCTGTGTTTTAATATGAACAAACCTAATTATATCCGTTTCATTTTAATGGACGCTTCACAGTGCGAAGTAGAGAGGAAATACGACATTAGAAGAGGAGAGCAAAACTTACTTGCGTGACACAGGCTTCTATCACGTTAGGAGGAAAGGCGTTTCTGGAAAGAGGAAAACATCGGATCGGGAAGTTGTCGACTGGGAAAGCCAGGCCTCCATGAAGACCAGGCTTTTTTTTTTGTTACTATACTTTTCCGCTTTTCACTAATTAAATATTTCTCTGTATTGTCTCTCGAAAGTGCGTCTCAAGGCTTCTCTCGATCCGGCGTTATCGAACGCCGGCTGCGCAATGGTTCGTCCGACTGTGCGAATTGTAACTACGCTGTGTTTATAGTGTTGGCAGTATCTTAGTGGTATAGATTGATATATTTTGTTTTTGTTTGTGTTTTGGGCTTATTCGGTGTTTTGCAATGCAAGTGCGTTTGCCGTTACTGCTGCTGTACCTACATCTCTGGGTGGTATTGCCTCTCGAAAGTGCGTCTCAAGGCTTCTCTCGATCCGGTGTTATAGAACGCCGGCTGTGCAATGATTCGTCCGATTGTCACACGCGCATACCTGATGAGATCCATGAGCGTGTCGGCGGTGGTGACGAGGCGCGCCTTGGACGCCTTGATGGAGCCCGCGTCGCTGTCGCCTGCGCCGGGCTGCAGACCCGTGACGAGCACGATGCCCAGCACGATGGCCAGGAACGTGGTGGAGAAGTAGTAGACGACCGCGCGCAGCCCGATGCGACCCGAGAGACGCGCGTCCAGCGCCCCGACGGCGGCCACCATGCTGGACGTGATGAGGGGCAGGATGAGGCCGCGCAGCATGCGCAGGAACACCTCGCCGGGGAAGTTGATGTACATCAGCTGACGCTTCGAGAAGGGCCCTGCAACGACGTCGCGTGCACTGGATGGGGCTCGCTCACTGACACTTGGCTCAGTAACTTCTATAGGTCGCGAAGAACAACAACAACAACAACAACAACAACAACAACAACAACAACAACAACAACAACAACAACAACAACAACAACAACAACAAGAACGATGACGACGACGACGACGACAATAACGACGACAATAACGACGACAATAACGACGACAATAACGACGACAACAACAGCGACGACAATAACGACGACAACAACAGCGACAACAATAACGACGACAATAATGACGACAACAACAACGACGACAACAACAACAAAAAAAAAACAGTAAAGCTCAGCTCAACTCTCAAGAAATGCATCTCGCGTGTAGGGCTCATTCGGACACACACTGACGATTTTTTTCCCACCGGGCTCACTTAGACTCAATCGAACCAAAATATGGCTCACCCGAATTCACTCTCACTCACTCTCACAGCTCAGTCTGAGACATAGTCCGGGTGAGCCGACCGATGAATGAAGTGAATTCACCGACCTGTGGCCATTGTTACTTTGAACAGTCACAGACAACAGCAGACTCAGTCACAGACACTTGGCTCAGTTACAGACACCTGGCCCGGTCAGTGACGGCTAGCTCAGTCTTAGAAAGCAGCCTCAGTCACATACACGCGAATCTGCCCTCTGGTGACTCGCGGAGATCACGCAAGTGAGTTCATCAGAAATGATAACTTTGGTCTGAAGGTGTCCGATTTGGGTCGGTCGCTCGATTCTCGCCTGTGACTGCGATCGCAGAACTTGTTAATCGGTGAGGTGCGTCCGGAACAGAGCTACCGCTTATTTCGATCGGCAATGGCGATTCGAGGAGATGTGAAGGACGTGGTATTCGGGTGGCTGCAATTGGATGGCTGGCTGCAACATGGATGGCTGCAATTGCCACATCAAGCGAGACTCGACACGAGATACGGCGTGTTTCCCTCTTCCTGTCGTACAATCAAGGAACTTTGCAGAAGAATTGGAAAACCACTTATCTTTTTTTCCAAAATTTAGCATATATATTTTTTTCTTTTTGTGAATTCTTTTCGTTATTATGCTGGGTGCTCTATCATTTTTCGCAGTGCAATCTTTAGAGAACATTTTTTTAACTGTATTTAGTGCGCAAAGACAAGAATTTATTGATACGTTTTAGTGCCCTGCTGCTATTTACAAATTTTTTCACCAAAGTTTGATTTGTTATGTTGGGCTAAGCAAGCATTTCGTTTTCTGCAACATGGCTGCAGGTCGCATCATTTTCATATGGGCTGTTTATAATTTTTCTTTTTTTCGCATTGTCTTTATCTTTAAGAATACGCAGCGCTTAAGTAACACAAACAAATGACGCCAGAACGAGGACGTGCGCCGACAGCCAACAGTTTGTTTATTGTGGGTTAGCGTAAACAAGATGTTGCAAGAAATATATCGAATATAATTGAAAAACTACAAAAAGGAGGCATCTGCATGTTACCTGTGGCGTTAGCATTACTGTGGTTGTGGTCATCTTCAGACGAGTACAAACAATAATTACCGTAGTAATTACAGAAATTAAAACAACTTTTTACCCAGTGGAAACAAGCGGTCGAGTCAAGTGGGAGAATTCAAGTCTTTCCTGCAAATAGTTCATAGCCACTTTGAAGTTCCTTAAACGCGACCACCGGTAATCACCACGGAGCGTTTAAATCTGGCTTGGTTAGCCGACGAAATCGGAACCAGCGACGAAACCAAACAGTGCATTTGCCATTCACTTCGAAAACGCCCTCAATGACGACACCGCTTGATAACAGCGTTATCAAGCGTGAGTGTATACATACTTCGTTTCTTGGCAACGCTTTCCTGCCTCCAGGCCGCGTATTAGCGCTCGGTTATACTACTCCCCAAATACGAGGAAAACGGTGTTGTACTTACGGGCTTTTCGAAGTAAATGGTAAATCCGCTGTTTGGCCGGTCGGTTTCGCCAGCTATATTTTAGCCGAATTTCATCGCTCCACGGTGAATACTAGTGGCCGCCTTTCAGAAATTCAGGTGGCTATGGACTATTAGCAGGAGGTACTTGAATTCGCTCATTTGACTCGACCGCTTATTTCCACTGGTTAAAAACTGATTTGTTTTAATTTTTATAATTACTACCATGAAATTGTATACTCATCTGAAGATGCCTTCTGCCAGAGTAAAGGAAATCCCGCAGTTAGCAAGCAGATCCCCCAGAGTGGGAATTTGCCAGTGTCCACGGGCAACAAACAAATACCTTCTCTCAGTAGTTTTTCGATAATGTTGCTCACACTTCTTGAAATGATAGAGAGGGCGATAAAAAGAACTGAGGGGAAACATGGACGGAAATATGATACTTATGCGCATGGTCGTGACGACGACATTAGACCAAGATACATCTGATGATTGTCCGTGGTCTTTCATTAGTCTGCCGTTGTACTGCCCCTCGTGCATGGGCAAGCACATTGGCCAGCAGGACGGGTAAGTCACAAATACGAACAAATAAAGCACCGAGTGTGATGTCTTTCGCGTCCCCCTTTTTTTTCTTCACTCGTCACGAAGCGCTACTTCAGTATACGGTCCGCATCATGCTTCTCGCGGCGGGATACTGACCTAGAGGCCTCAATACGACCCCCAGCACGATTCCGGCCACCACGGCCGCTATGGTGGCCACGGTCAGCCGGTTGTGTCGCAGGAAGGTTCGGCAGGCGCCCCCTCGCGGGGCCGCGCCTCCCGCCGACTCGGTGTCCTCGGTGTCGGCTGCGTCCAGCTCCTTGGATCCATGCGCCGGCAACGAAGGGAGCGCAGGTGGGCGCTGCACCGCGGGTGGCGCTGCATCCTCGGCCAGGTTGGTCGTCGACATGGTGGAGCCGTCCGCCGTGCTCCGGTATATGCCCCCGCGGAAGGACTGCGGGAAATCAATACGGTTCTTTTATTGATCACCTGCAGATATGTACATTACTTATGTTCTATAAACAATGTCCCACGGCTCCCGCAGGTGTTGTGAAGGGGGCCCCTATGTCACACTCCGTTATATTTTTATTTTTTAATTTATTTAAGGAATACTGCAGACAGTTTTTCACCATCCTAGCAGGAGAGGGTTACATAAGGTTCCTAACACAGAGGTCAAAACTAGAAGAAGTCGGAGCGTGCACGCAGTCGGAAGGCAGTGAATTCCAGTCTTCAATGGTTCTTACAAAAAAGGAGTACTTGAATGTGTTATTTTTAGGAGCATATGGTCTTACAGTTTATTTTTCTCAAACAAACATTAGGGCGCGAAATAACAGAGTATAATAACGGTAGAGATATAAAACGTTTTCATAAGGAAACTGACGAGAGAATACAAAAACGTTGGCTAGTTTTCTAGCAACTAGCTGTGCTTCTATTAGGTTTGCGGGTACCTGGCTCTAGGGATGTAATACAGTACGCGTGAATGTAAGTGATCCATATTTCTTGCTAGATTTTTTTCAATGGTCCACTTAGCTTTTGATATGCTCTTGGTAAGCGACACTGATATTTAAGGTCCAAAGAAAAGACTCACGCAGTCAGGCAGAGCCTAAGTGGCTTTTACGCCTATACTGTCATCTCAGCATGGAACGGGTCGCATTTACCAATGGGTGCTACGTGTCATTACTGTTCTGTTCCGGTGATACAAGCAGACGCTTGCTATTTTATATTATAGGATATTTATTATTATTATTAACATCATCATCATCATCATCATCATCATCATAAGTAGCAGTAGCAGCAGCCTGACTACGTCCAATGCAGGACAAAAGCCTCTCGCATGATCCACCAGTCAACTCGGTCCTGTGCTTGCTGCCGCTACTTATATAGGATATTCATCATCATCATCATCATCATAATCATCATCATCATAATCATCATCATCATGACTACGTCCATTGCAGGACAAAGGCCTCTCCCATGTTCCGCCAGTTAACTCGGTCCTGTGCTTGCTGCTGCCAATTTATATCCGCAAACTTCTTAATCTCGTCTACCCACCTAACCTTCTGTCTCCCCCTAACCCGCTTGCCTTCTCTGAGAATCCAGTTAGTTACCCTCAATGACCAGCGGTTATCCTGTCTACGCGCTACATGCTACGGGTACAGGATATTACAAGGTTACAATGGGAACGCTCCCGTGTACTACGCCGAGGCTGTCTTCGCTACTCTTATAGGACATGTTGTGACTGTCAGATTTATGATAACAAATTCCACAAGCTGACACTGCTTTGCTTCATACACCACACCGGCGTTACGGCAAACATCTACGCACAGTTTCACTCCTTAAAAGCAAATCTACATTGCATTAAAAAAAAATGAAGCTACAGGGGAGAATTGTGGCGTAGTGAGCAATTCTCAACTATACTTGCAGTATAGTTGAGAATTGCTCACTACGCTGCGTGTCGTGTGTGTTGCTCTGGTGTAAGTGTGTGTGCTTGTGTGAGTGTTTGCGTGAGTCGAGGTTGCGCCAAATTTCTAAGTATATGATACTTGCAGTAGGCATTCTAGGATAGCTGTAAAGGGCCTGTGGTAAGCGCACTGCCGTTCTTTTGCTTGTTTTTTCTTTGCGGCTCAGCTCAAGTGCTCACCGAGAATTGAGGCGAGGCTAGCAACCAAGAAAACGTGGACAGAGCCCGATTACGCTGTCACGTTGAACTCTTGAGGATGGAGCTCAAGAGTCCCTTGATATTTTCCTTAGTGGCTCTAACAACAAACAGGAAACTTTTTTATCAACGAGCGCTGCAGAGTGCATTGAGATGCCCCCTCCCTTTTCCATCCCCATTGTTTTTTTTTTTCCTGGCACTTTCTTTTAGTGCACGGATAGCTACGAGTTCCTGCTGCGTTGTGTCAATACACGATGTAACCCCATAACCGGGTCATACCGAGGGCTAGCTGATAAGGTATCAGAGTTTATCGGGTCGAGTAGATTGCATTGTGCTAGTGTAAGCTTTCATTGTTTTAGTAGCGTGCAACGATGTCTTAGCAACGGATTGTTCTTTTTCAGAGAGGAAGATGGCGGGGGAAGGGGGGGGGGTCCGGCATGAACCAGTAGAATCTGGCCCGGTATTTTGCGCGAAGTGGCGGGTGTAAGGGATAGGAAAAAAAGTTGCTAGGAAAAGAGAAAAGTGTGGGGACGTATGATGATGGGGACCGCAGGAAGTGATTTCGGCCCCAGTCGAACTACACGGTGCCCTCGGCGAATCCGTGCTTTCTGTCACTGTCGCCGTGGCACTGGAATATCGTTCCTGCTTGCGCTATGGCACCGTGTGTGCTTGTCATCCACAGCTATGCCTGGAACTCAGAACGCATAATGCCAGCCAGAGCAAAAATTCTAGTGTTACGCCTGCTGAAAGCACATGTTCACCCAGCGACAGTCGAGGCGCGTCGGAGTTCGACTGAGCCCCGTATTCAGAAACGCTCCTCGACTCGACTTTCACCCTTCATTTGACAAAGCTGAGCACTGCGCCACTGCTCGTCTGAAAATGATGCTGCGCTGCTCGAGAATCGCAGCAGATTATCGCTGGCATGCAGTCACTTGCCCTGCCTAGAGAAGGCGCTCCCATCGGCTGTCTCAAGTGAAGGTGAAGCGTTGACTGAAGAGACGTTCTAGAATACGGGGTAAGCCTAACACGCCGTTTCCTCTGTTTGCGTATCTCTTCATCGCGATAGTAAGTTAACCGTGTAACACAGTGGTGTTTTTCTGCAGTCTAGTGCCCGTGGGCTTGTACCTTTCAGGAAATCTGTAGCTGTCCTTGCAGCATACAACACATTTGAGTGCGCGGGTGCCTTGGATGGGGATCATATTATCAAGATTTCGGCACGCGTTGGCTAAGTGAAAAAATGCATTAAAAAACGTCTGTCAATGTTTGTAAGTTGCAATGCGCCCAGTTTTGCTGTAGTGAAGGGTTCGAATTTTAAAGTACTTAAATGCATCCGCATTCGATACTAAATACTAGAGGCCTAGATACTAGAGGCCAAGAGTTTTAAACCTATAGCTATTGAAAAGTATTAATGTATGTTTATTCGGTATGAATACCCAATTTGTCGATGGTCGATGTGCCTCACTTCTGTCAACCATAAATGTTTTCAATAATTACAACAGGTGCCTACTGATCACATCTCAGTTGAAGGGTGAAAAATCCTGCCTTAACTAATCCGTGTGCGTGACATCGTCGCACCTTGATAGACCAAATGAGAGTTATTTCCATTCATTCATTCATTCATTCATTCATTCATTCATTCATTCATTCATTCATTGACCACTCACCGAAACGTTGGCTTTAGCGCCATGCAATCCCGGTTGAAAATCTTTTCACCTTTTCAACCTTCAATTTGTCCCTAATCCGCCACGGTGGTTTTGTGTGATTACGGTGCCGACTTATGGCCCGAAGGTCGCCGGATCGATTCCTTGTCGTTGTGGTCGCATCTCGTCACAGACAAGATGCTAGACGCCCATGTGCTTAGATTTAGGTGCACGTTAAAGGTTGAAATTTCCGAAGCCTTCCACTATGACGTTTCTCATAACGATTCCGTGGTTTTCGGACGTTAAATCCCAACCAATATATAATCACGCTCCAATATGTAATGACTGTTTTCCTATATATTGCAGTTGGATTGCAATAAACTTTCGTTGTTCAGCGCTCTGTTCTCGTCTCTTCTATGCCCTCCTGTCGTTTGCGCTGCTAAGCACTTTCTTCGTGTACCATATAATCACGCATTCTCGCCCAAGCCCCTGCCTTGTTTGGAATCCCAGAGAAAAGCAAGCATGAGTGGTACTCGACCGACCAGAAAGAGGGGAGAGCCGCGCGTCGTCAACCGTCGCGAGTGAATGGATCTTGGCGCATCGAGATCACGTTATCAATTGATTGATTTGTGGGATTTAACGTCCCAAAACCACTATATGATTAAGAGAGACGCCGTAGTGGAGGGCTCCGGAAATTTCGACCACCTGGGGTTCTTTAACGTGCACCCAAATCTGAGCACACGGGCCTACAACATTTCCGCCTCCATCGGAAATGCAGCCGCCGCAGCCGGGATTCCATCCTGCGACCTGCGGGTCAGCAGCCGAGTACCTTAGCCACTAGACCACCGCGGCGGGGCGGATCACGTTATCAAGTTTGGAATGTGTGATGGCGCGCGCGGAATTTGTGATTGCGTCTTGACGTCCTTTGTCTCATTGTTTGAGCGGCCGCGCTGAGTAAGCACACGTTCACGCAACACGTTTTCATGTCCTTCGCAAATGGGCAAATAGAGAGTAAAAAAAAAAAGAAGGCTGTTTCATCATATTTCTCTTGAAAGGGGGGTGGTTTCGGCTAGACGGTACTCGAATGCACTTGTGGGTTACATAACTGTGGAGTGGCGACGATGGCGGAGAAGGGTACAAGCGTTTGTTCTTATCTGTCTTCCAGATTGGCCCTCATTCTTCGCGCCATAATCATCTAGCATTATGTCTCCTGGTCACGCACACGTGGCAGAGGAACAAAAATCAACTGTTAGTGTCAGCTACTATCACACAAATATACGGAGGAGCAGCGGAATATCCTTGATAAAAATCTGTAAAATACTTTTTTTCCGTCTAATACAATTTTTGTTCTTTTTTATTCTCGCCCAACGACCCTTGGATAAAGTGCATTCTCACGTGTCGATACAACCGCGCTTTTGCCCAAAATTTTCTATTATGATCGCGAAAGTGAACCTTGACCAATATACCTATAAATCCTAGATTTATTCTTTGGTGCACTAGATCAAACCACGTTCCGATAAACCACGTGTACGTTGCAGAGTAGCTGAGGTGGCAGCAGCGCATCAAAAAAATAAAAGAGAGAGAGAGAGAGAAAGTCACGTACAGCGTAAATTTATCAGTTACCTCAACGTCGCCCAATGGAGTGAGTCGCTGACATAT